ATCCTCACATGATTAATAATTCATTTCAAAAGAGGTCGAGAAATTAAATAATGGGGAAAGTTTTTTGTTCCAGCAACATTCAAACTGCCCTAATGGTTTTTACCAGTTGTTTATGGTTTGTTATTTGCATGCGTACCCTTGCGCAATCGTCTTCTGAGCTAGTATGGTGGATCACAAAGGGTTCATTTCATTTCATTTCAACATACCCAGCGCACTAACCCTCAGGGACTTTCCTTTGTCGAACTAGGATCTCTTTGGTCCTTTGTTCAACGCAACACGAACCTGATCGTGTGCTTTTACATTCTTTAGGTGTGAGCTAAATTTGGTGCAGCGCGGTAGAATTTCATCTCCCAATATCACTTATCGTCCCATTGTTGATCAGATTCTTCGTGAAAAAAAGCGTTAGTCGCAAGTAATTCAGACGGGTGCCGGCAACCGTCTGATTTACCTGCCACGTGCCAAAGCACGCCAATGAATTGTACACGGTCTAGGATGTTTGATATTCATTTGAAGTCTCGAAGGATGTAGAAAAATGCACCGTTAGAGGTGAAAATCTTCAGTAGGCATAATCTGAGCGCGTTTAGCAACGTGGTAGGGTTTCATTTGTTTTATACTATGTAGATTGATGTCGATTACCATTCCGCCGTATGATTTACGGAGAAACTCCCGCGTTGTATGCATCCTTAAAACTAGGAGGGCTGGAACATGTAGAAGTCCAGCTGGGAGCTCGCAGGTTGGCGTTGATAACTGGCGCCCCTCAGTTCCCAGGCTCCAGGTCCGTCTCGCCTGCGGGACGCACACTAGAGTTGTACTGCTGGAACGAAGAGCTGGGCTACATTGGTACGGCGCGGCCGAATGCGAGGTATAATCTCATTCAAACACAACTTGCAGCAGATAAAAAAGCAGATTTCAAAACTGCGAGAACTCTTATAATGTTTGGCAAACTTCCGTGACTCACTTGGAGAGCAGATTCCATGCCACGTACCCAGAATTCCGCTCTAATCTGCTCACGTTTTGGACTGTCATTAATAGGAGTTGATGCTCTCGTTTTTGATCTGCCAAGTTCTATGCACGGCAAGCGATGGGGGGGGAGGTTGGAGACCGTGGCACACTTCAGCGAAATCTTCTTCCTTCAGAATGTCGCCGAGCTTCGCCATATTACTCATCTTTATATTACATTAGTTTCGCTCATATGACATTCTTGTAACTCACTTGATGGAGATAGCGTCTACGGGGCCATAAGACATGGCAGTTGATAGCAACACTTTTTGGAGTCCTCTACAGCTTGAGTCCTTTTCAAAACTATCGCCACTCTTTCTTAGTTTACAACCCCTCCTAATATAATGTCAATAAGACCTCGCCTGAACTTTGCGCCATACCCTGACCTTCAGTGGTAGTCGTGAAGTTTTACCTCCCTTCCTAGTGACTACGACTGAACGTTTGCCTAGATTAAGTGCATGTTGGGGAAGTGTCATTTTCCATGACAAAGCTTGTCGGACGGGAAAGTGTTTGGCAACAAGGCAGTTCAGCGTAAAAATTGTTTCTGGGAAACCGGCTGCAGTGCACGGTCCCCATCATCTATCCTGAGCGCTTTACAACCAACAGGATTGCTTATTACAGGCGTTAGTGATTTTCTATTTTATTGCCTGGTAAGTAGCTAGGTAAAGTGATAAAGAAAAGAGGAGAAAAATCTATTTCGAGTCAATGCGAGTAAATCTGGAAACTAAAGTTGCTCTCGCTCTAGAAGTTCTGTTAGAAGAGGCGGGCCAGCTATCCTGTGTGCTTTTAGCTATAACCATATGAAAGCTGTAGGAATTTCGCAGTCGGGTTGTGATTATTTCACTTCAGCTTTTTATTTATAGCAAGCACTTTCTGCGTGTAGCTCGGTGGTTGCATCTCCACTGACAACTCCACGAGTAACGCCAATACCAACATCAATGCTTACTGGCGGAGCACCAGTTAGAGCAGTCATTCCATCTGGTGCAGCAGGGGACGACGAGTGCAACACTCTTTTCAATGCTATTGCGAGCAATGGAAACAGTAACGATGGAATTCGTGAGTATCTCTCTCTTCACAACTTCTTTTATCAAGTTGTATTTCCTATAAATGTCGTTCAGTGTCAACTCACTTCCTCCAATACTTGAACGACTCGAATTCACGTTCTCCAAGTTCCAACGGAAACTCTTTGCATGCCCCGTTTAATGTTATCGCAAATGTTCCGGCCAGGCCCGATAGCGTTGCCAGCAAGTTCGTTCACTTTGAATAATACATATTTTATATTTATCATTTTTCATGCACTCTTTCCAGCAGTTCAAATTCGCTCACGGGAGTTCTATCTCTTTCTGCTCCACCGACAAACGCACTGACTGTGTCACAAACTCCCACTGCTACATCTCCTACTGTAGATTCAACCACAATCGAAGTGGCGGTGCGTCATTAGGTGAAATTGCCTGCCTTTTTTTCTGTCGCTCCGGATATATTTGTGCAAAATTCTTTTACTGCTTACGAACCATTCATAATAGAAGGATACCATACATAAGGTCGAGAAACAATCGTAGTGCGATGAGATTTGGCCTATACAATGACTTGCGGGGGCCAGCCGATGTACAAGTCAGTGTTTTTATCCTCCCAGACAAGTCTGGTACCAATTAACCGACCCCGGAGGGATGGAAGGCTTGGTTGGCCCGGGCGACTCACGACCCAGGATTTGATCCCGGACCGCTCGCGTGGTAAGCGTGCCACTTGCCACTGCACCACTTCCGTGGTGACAAAGTAGCAGACTATAAGAAGAAACAAAATTTGATACCTAGAACTCTAAACCATACGATCCATTGCTAACCGGTAACGCTAGACGTGTGAGTGCGGGCAAGCGTGTTGGTGTGGTATTTTGTTCAAAAATCAGACAAGAAATGCGATGAGGAACAACAGTAGGAGAAAAAGCAAAAAGCACCATAGAAAACACTAAATTTCCTTGGAGGTCGGCCGTGGTATGACGGAGAGACACAGCGCTGCGAGGAGAGGGAAAACGCGAGAGAGCACGTCGTACGTGAGAGGGTGCGAACGCACGTGTGGTGCGATTGATAGAGTGGCAGCGCCGGAACGTACAAGACAAGGCTTTAGCGCTCTTGTCGCCCATTTTTGATTCGTGGCTGTGTCGCGGCTCCGGAGCTTCGGAAACCCTCTTTCTCACTCTTGGCACCTAATCCCGACCCGTGGCTCTAGGATGAAATGATGCTCCAGTACTGTAAGCAGTAAAGCTCCAGCTCGGAATGCTAGGGGTGCTGGTTCGATTTCCGCTTGGACGAAAGTTTTGCCCATAACTCACATTCTTGTGAAACATTCGCGCTGCGGCTATACTACGGCAATCAACAAACAAAAAATTGTGGGTTGTTTTCTCATGTCCCTGGTAGAGTCGAAATAGAAACACTCTCGACCCCTGGTTCCGAAAGAAACTGTCCTTGACTTGTGCAGTCGTTTTCCTTTTCATGCTCCAGACGATATCAAGTGATTCACAAGAGAAATTTAGGTTCGCGACTCGTTGCCAGACTCGACCACTGCGGATTCGCCACGGGTAATTCGAGGAAGCGGGTTTCTGTCAGGATCCGCTTCTTCGGCGAGTCCTTCAAGTTCAAATGGCAGCAATATTTCTAGCTCTTCTCTTCAGGGTTCGCTGATGTCCTGATTTCCGCGTAATCCAAAAATGAGTAGCGGATAATGTTTTTTTCCCGCAAGAATCGAAGAATCGCGCAAATTCTATAAACGAACCTCTAATGTCAAATTATTTGCTTAAGCAAAGCGGCTCAAACCACCTAATGAGCCCCTTAAAGTTGCAAAAAAGCCGCATGGGACTGCCGCGACTCGCCACCGTTCCGCACTCGTACAGCATCATTAACGCGCGCTAGAGGCCAAGGACTTTGACACGCTCCACCTGTTGCGACACGCTCCGCCCACCGCTCGATATTTTGTCTGCATCGCAATGCTGAGCTGCTATGCTCTCTCTTCTCGGATTTCTCTACCGCTCTCCGCGCTCACATTATCTCTCATCTCCCTGCCGGCCTTTCCCACGTAGAGCAACCAAGCTTGTATTCCTAGTGTATTTCACTGAATTTCTTCCTCTCTTCTATCAAGTGGTCTAACCTCATGCCCCTGATCACATTTAATGGAACTACCCTCGCCTTCAAGATACCAGAAATTGTGCAATTGCAGAAATTGACGTGGCATTAACGTGGCATCGATTCAAGAACATCTTTGAGCACACGTGATGTCACCTTTTCATCGAGAATTTAGCCACGTGTGCCACGTGGATTTCTGGCTGCACGAAACAGAGTTACCTCTTCGCTTAAAGGACGAATTCACGATCAGAGGGAAAATCGAATTAGGAAGAATTCACCTGGTTGAGGGACCCGCGGAGCTCCTAAGTGTGCGAACTGAAGCACAATTTGCACAGGAGGAGTTGACCTCGTTGACCTATTAAGGTTTAATCCCGCCGCGGCTGGTCAGTGCACGCCCACCGCGCTTATCAGGGGCCGTAAGGTATGCTTCCCCGAAGGGTTGGGGGACGAAAATCCCTTTAAATTTGTCTCTGTCTTCCCAACTGGGATTGTCCTGATAAAGGGCCTACATTTAATGTATGTGTGTAGGTTAAAGTAAACATGCACTGAAAATGAAGAAGCAGTATCGTTCGAAACAAAAAATTTAAAGGGACTTTCGTCCCCCAACCCTCGGAAAGCATACCTAACGGCCCTGCACTCGCCGCAGGTCTATACGTGGTGAGTGATTAGATAGGTGAGAGAGCGTAGCGTTGAAGAGGGCACAGCGATGATAGTCGCATCAATGCTCAAATCAACGGGCAAGGGAAGGGGTCCCATTTCTCAGGTTCTGGGCCGTTTCTCATGGTTTTTCCTTCTTTAGTGTACCACTCACCATCGCTAACTTAATTTGAAATGGGTTGCCTTTCAGCGTGAATTCGTCGATCCTTTAAACGCTGCGAATCTCTGCCTAATTATCGCATGGATGTATTATTTTCCCCAGATCATGCAGATGTTGGTTCGAAATCGGAATTTTTGCGGGAAACGCAAGCCGCACTGCATACAGCAACGCAAAGTTAAAAGAGTTCTGCTGGTTGCTGCGTCTGTGCTGTTAATTTAGAGCCTCCTAAAGTGAGTGTGAAGTGGATGGAAGCATAGGGATTTAGGCGCCTCCTTTCCAATATCTGCATACTGGTTGGCGCAATTGACTCATTCAAGCTTCACCCAGTCTCCGTTAGTCTATTTGACAGCTTATTTAGTACCACCGTCTAATTTTCGGGATAAGCCCGCCCTGATTTCACGTAAAAACAACTCCGCTCGTGCGGCGTAATTTTGTGCACGTTTAGAAACTACGTAAATTTGCCTGTAGAGGTAATTCGATGCCCTGATTACGAAAATGACTTCATTTTAGCGGTGGCGCCATCTGGCGCCAGTTGGCGTCACCTTGTCACGACACCTGTTTTCACCAAATTTGGTGTAAACTTCCGTATAGGGGTTATTTGGTGTCCTGATTACGAATATGACATTCATTCTCGGCGCTGGCGCTATTTGGCGCCTATTTTCTGCTCGTCTGCGCTCTCCAACCGAGAAATATGCGTTGAACAACGTTAATGCCAAAAACGAATGTCATATTCGTAATCAGGGCACCAAATAACCCCTATACAGAAGTTTACACCGATTTTGGTGAAAACAAGGGTCGTGACAAGGTGACGCCAACTGGCGCCAGATGGCGCCACCGCTAAAAATGAATGTCGTTTTCGTAATCAGCATATCGAATTACCCCTATGGGCAAGTTACGGTTGTCTCTAGATGTACGCAAGTGCACTGCACCAGCGAGGTGTTTTTACGTGATATTGGCGCGGGCTTATTTACCGGAAAATTAGGGTATTCTTTTTTGGTTTTGTTTGGTCCATGACCCATGTACAGGGGGAGGGGCAAAAAAAGTCACTTTGCCCATGGCGCACATCATCAAATTTTTCGTCGCACAGGATGCCGTTGTTGATGAATGTTTTACGGCAGAATATTCCTTAGGTCCCCCAAAAGCAGAAGCAGGCCCTCCTTCACTGCCCCACCGTCTTCAGAATATGACGTCATCTGCCGTCACCGTCGAGCTCAACGAGGCTTACAGTACTCTAATTTCCGGTAGATAAGCCTGCGCCGATTATCACGTAAAAACACCTCGCTCGTGCAGTGTAATTTTGTACACCTTAGAAACTACCGCAAATTTGCCTATTCGATGCCCTGATTACGAAAATGACTTTCATTTTTAGCGGTGGCGCCATCTGGCGCCAGTTGGCGTCACCTTGTCACGACACCTGTTTTCACCAAATTTGGTGTAAACTTCCGTATAGGGGTTATTTGGTGTCCTGATTACGAATATGACATTCATTCTCGGCGCTGGCGCTATTTGGCGCCTATTTTCTGCTCGTCTGCGCTCTCCAACCGAGAAATATGCGTTGAACAACGTTAATGCCAAAAACGAATGTCATATTCGTAATCAGGGCACCAAATAACCCCTATACAGAAGTTTACACCGATTTTGGTGAAAACAAGGGTCGTGACAAGGTGACGCCAACTGGCGCCAGATGGCGCCACCGCTAAAAATGAATGTCGTTTTCGTAATCAGCATATCGAATTACCCCTATGGCAAGTTACGGTTGTCTCTAGATGTACGCAAGTGCACTGCACCAGCGGAGGGGTTTTACGTGATATTGGTACGGCTTATCTACCGAAAATTAGGGTGATTCATATAGCAAAAAAAAGAAAAAAAATTGTATTCTAATGGAAAAATGAGAGTTCTGATATCTAGACATTTTTCCAAGGAGAAACATGTCCAACGTAAACCAACAACTTTAGAAGGTCTTAATCATTAGAGATACTGGATGTTTTACTCTAGTTTCTGAGTCGTTCACCATCCAGGAGCTGTATCCTATCCTTACCCCAGGATCACCTGTATCACCTGTCGTCCCGTTGATCATCGAATTGCTCGAGCGGGCGCCAGCAACGTCTCCATTCGTCCCTGTCGCGTGCAAGAGTTGTCCAGTG